TACATATTAAATATATTCGGATACATATTAAATATATTCGGTTACATATTAAATATATTCGGATACATATTAAATATATTCGGTTACATATTAAATATATTCGGATACATATTAAATATATTCGGTTACATATAAAAAATAAAAATCTTTTTAGTTCTTCTCAATAGCTCTTTAATTAAAGTACAGTTCACGCCCCACCGGTGTACATTTGAATATCCGAGCTGGGCCAACCTTTACAGTCCTACTTTGGACAGTACCGGCAAGAATTTCAGGTTTGATTCGTATTTCATACATCTATAATAAGCTAGCCTTAACAAAATAATAAAAAGAGAATGTACATGAGATTGAGAAAAAATATAAAATTATTCAATTTTGTCTAATCATATTGTACGGTATTCGTACAATCAAGTGTTCATCTTCAGCAAATATGTAAATTGCGTAAATTGATAGCTGTCACATTACCCAAAATATCTGAACAATCCCTTTAATAAGATTGTTAGGTAAGGAAGACGTCTTTTTGATATTTATATTTTTTGACTGTACATTTTTCTGATAAATTTGAATATTACCGAGGCTCCTGCGATAGCCTGAACAAGAGAATTATACGAGAACAGTTTGTTATCCATTTTAATCTGATAAATTATTTTAATAAAAAAAACTCTGGAATTTATAAAACTCTGTGCGGAAAGTTCCCCGCAGAAAATCTTGAGACAACTGATATTTGCAGTATATTAGTTGTTTCTAAAGATAAGATAAGATATATTGTATAATCTCACAAAAACCTGTTTTTTCCTTCTTGGAACATCTTTTTTTAATTAAAAAACTAGAATTTTTTTTTTTGAGTTTAATCTTGTTTATCTTTGATTTAAAGATATTTTTAGACAATTTTCAATAACAATTTTAAACACAGTAATCTACAAACGAGTTACAAAGTTAAAAGTTTCCACTCCTTTCCCGTCATCTTAATTTTTAAACTTTTTTTTATTTTTTTAATCTTATAGACTTTAGTATAATATAGTTATAATATAAATAACCCATGATGCCATAGACCTGATATATTTCAAACTTTAAATTCTGTTAGATCAAGTAATCTAAGTTCTAAATATTAAAAATTTACACCATCAGGTTGCAACGATATATGAATTATAAAAAAAGAGTTTGTGGAAAAGACTCAATTCCTTTAGATTCATAGTTCTAATTAAATAGTTTCTATGGTCTATAGGGTTACCAAAGAAATTATTTAATGTTTTTATTTAATTTTCTAAAAGATTTTTAATTTTATTTTATTTTATTCTAAATTTGCTTTAAGTAGATTTCCGCCGTAAGATTGAAAGTACTATCAGCAGAATACCAGTTTTAACTAGCTGGAACCCTTAAAAAATTTCAAATAACCGATATTCTGGGGACCAAAGTTAAGCTCCATGAATTTTGAAACTATTTGTCTTTCTAAAACATTAGATCAATTTTTTAATTCCCCTCTTTAAATAAAATCAGTTTTTTTAAACTTTCAATTTGTTTCATGGCTCATTTCAGGCAATAAAATGGCTCATTTCAGGCAATAAAATGGCTCATTTCAGGCAATAAAATGGCTCATTTCAGGCAATAAAATGGCTCATTTCAGGCAAATAACATTTTTTTCTTAAAACCTTTCAAATAATTCCATTCGTCCTGAATGAGGCCTTTGAGGCCAGGGTTTTCGGAAAAGTTCTATTTATAATGCATAGAATGTTTCGAAAAACATGCGAATAAAATTTAGATAACGTCAGATTTATCTATATACATAAATGCCTAACAACCCATTTTTTAGATATTAAAAAGTTAGACCACAATTGGAAAGACCAGGAGACATTGAGCATTTTCAGCTAGAGTAGATCAAACACGATTTACAAGACATTCTCTACTTCCCATGTTTATTGGAACACCCGGTACATATCTCGAGAATCTGGTTTGGTAGGTTCAACTTTCAGATCAGATAATGTAATCCAAACCCGTTCCTACTCCCTACTCCAGGTCTCAGTCTACCATTGCAACCGGAGATAAATAGTCTGGTTACATTAATATTGATAGAGGTGAGCAGGATATTTTTGTTTTTTCCAGGGACTGTTTTAAAATTTTTAAAATGAGTTAAACATATAAATGCACCAGGCTAATAATCAGAATATTGAACTGCTGAAAGCATTTAGATATAAGGAACATTTAGTTCAAAAATGTGAACAAAATGTTAAGGATGTCTCACAAAATACACCCTTCTTCTGTTCTTTTATCAAAATCATTCAGATCAAATTTTATCCATTTCGAACTTTTCTATTTTCTTTTTCTGATTTTTTAAAGTCAAAAGTTTTTTATATATATGTAAAAAGGTTCTAATTTTCTTTTTTGTTGGGATCAGGGGTCAATATAATTCCTTTTTCAATCCCATTTGGGATTGACAAATTTGAAAGAAATGGGGGCAAATTCTTGAATTGGGGGCAAATTTTTTATGGGGGCATTTTTTTTAAAAATTGGGGGCAATGGGGCAAATGTGTTAGTGGAATTTGAAAAAAAAAATTTAACTGGGGGCATTTTATTTAAATTGGGGGCATTTTTTTTTAAATTGGGGGCAAAAAATTATTTTGGGATCGAGAAATTAAGCTTTTTTGGGAATTATATTGACCCCTGGTTGGGATAAGTTTTTTGCTTGACTAGGTTTAATTATTCCTATATGGCCAAGTATTGCTTAACTGGATTGTATATAATTTGATTATTTTAGTTTTATTCTATCATAATAGTATTAAATTCATTGTATAAATATATTTTGCGCCCGGTTAGAGTTGTTTTCCTTTCTAGCTTTTATATTTTTGGTAGATTTCTTGGGGCCGCCATTTTTTCTTTGTCATTTCCACGTTGAAACTGCGCAGTATTGATATCTAGAAAAACAGGATATAAATATTAACCAATGAGAGAAGAGGGGATTGGGGAGGGGTATCCAACTTTAAAAAGCTTTAGAATCACAGTGGGCAAACTCGCAAGGTTTTATTTTAACATTCCAAATCCTATTTAGTATATATTAGAATATATTAGAAAGTATCAAAATTATTGATTCTTAATAGGGGTGAGGTTAATTTGAGTTTACTAGCTTCAGATAAAATAAAATAAATTAAATGCTTTTAAATGCTTTTCATACCAATACATACATGACTAAATAGAAAATAAGAAAATAATCACTCGCCACAAATTTAAATTTTTTTCTTTACATCTTTGATACCGTTAAAGGGAGTGTTCGCGAAAAATGAAAGGGGGGTATAGGCTTACGGCGAAAAATTATCGATGGTGATCGCTACTTATCTTACGAGGAATTAATCATTCAGAGCATCAAGAGCAGAGACACCTAGCGGCCTACTAATCGGCGTTTTAAGTGCATTGCATATAAAAAAATAAAAATATAATGAAATCTCAACTGTATATGAATACGTTAAAAATCATCGATGATTATAGGTTGTAATATCTAAATGATTTGTTTGGAATTCAATTGTTTTTTTACGATCCGAGTTGAATATTGCAACTTTCTGGCTTTGTATGGACGATACGTTCTTCGGTTGGATCGTCATTTCAACAATTTTTTCCTGTAACAGATGTAACAGATAGAAGTAAGATTAGTAGGGATCACCAATCAATAATTTATCGCCGTAAGCCTATACCCCCTTTATTTTTTTCGCCAACACTCCCTTTAAAGGAACCGTTCACTTTTTTGGGTAATTTGAGGATAAATTAAATAGCCTATTAACTATTTGATGGTATTATAATTTATAAGTCTTACTTTCAAAGAAAACTGTGGTCTGAGAAAAAGCCGATTTATCATTCAGAATTCCAGCGCAACTTTGTTACCATGTCATCTATATATAAATTTGGCTTGTCTGTTTGTCTGTCTGTCTGTTTTTCTGTCTGTCTGTTTGTATCCAATAAACGTCAAAACGGCTGAACCGATCGGGCCCAAATTTTTTGTGGGACATCTAGGGACCCCAGGGAAGGTTTATGAATGATTGAAATTTTAAATATTTGTCTCCATCAAAATTCGATCTTCATTAAATTTTTTAAAATTTTGAAAATCCACGAAATTTTTTGTGAAAAATCAGCGAATTATTTTTGTTTTGTTTTACGATGTACTCAAAGAGAACATGTTCACAATTAATTTAGAAGATGGGCGCGAAGCGCTCTCTAAGGCTAGTGTTTTAAATATGAAAGGAACAACCCAAAGGGGGATATTAATATTCTAGTATTCATCAAGTCACCCACCAATAAAAGAACAAAGTAATTGCATTTATATCGAAAGTAAAACAAATAAAAGAAATAAATGGATTATGCATAAATAGATATACTGCTACTACAGTTTCCTCAAACACAGGTTGGTTTCCCTGGAATATTTTTCGTCCAGATCCATAGGTTGGGTTTCCTGGAATATTCTTCATCCAGGTCCATAGGTTGGGTTTCCAAGAATATTCTTCATCCAGATTTACAGGTTGAGTTTCCTGGAATATTCTTCGTCCAGATCCACAGGTTGGGTTTCCTGGAATATTCTTCATCCAGATCATCCACAGGTTGGGTTTCCTGGAATATTCTTCATCCAGATCCACAGGTTGGGTTTCCTGGAATATTCTTCATCCAGAGCCACAGGTTAGGTTTCCTGGAATATTCTTCATCAAGATCCATAGGTTGGGTTTCCTGGAATATTCTTCATCCAGATCCACAGGTTAGGTTTCCTGGAATATTCTTCATCCAGATCCACAGGTTAGGTTTCCTGGAATATTCTTCATCCAGATCCATAGGTTGGGTTTCCTGGAATATTCTTCATCCAGATCCATAGGTTGGGTTTCCTGGAATATTCTTCATCCAGGTCCATAGGTTGGGTTTCCTGGAATATTCTTCATCCAGATCCACAGGTTGGGTTTCCTGGAATATTCTTCATCAAGATCCACAGGTTGGGGTTCCTGGAATATTCTTCATTCAGATCCACAGGTTGGGTTTCCTGGATTATTCTTCATCCAGATCATCCACAGGTTGGGTTTCCTGGAATATTCTTCATCCAGATCCACAGGTTGGGTTTCCTGGAATATTCTTCATCCAGATCCACAGGTTGGGTTTCCTGGAATATTCTTCATCCAGATCCACAGGTTAGGTTTCCTGGAATATTTTTTATCCAGATCCACAGGTTAGGTTTCCTGGAATATTCTTCATCAAGAGCCACAGGTTGGGTTTCCTGGAATATTCTTCATCCAGATCCATAGGTCGGGTTTCCTTGAATATTCCTCATCCAAATCATCCACAGGTTGGGTTTCCTGGAATATTCTTCATCCAGAGCCACTGGTTGGGTTTCCTGGAATATTCTTCATCCAGAGCCACTGGTCGGGTTTCCTGGAATATTCTTCATCCAGATCCACAGGTTGGGTTTCCTGGAATATTCTTCTTCAAGATCCATAGGTTGGGTTTCCTGGAATATTCTTCATCAAGATCCATAGGTTGGGTTTCCTGGAATATTCTTCATCCAGATCCACAGGTTGGGTTTCCTGGAATATTCTTCATCAAGATCCATAGGTCGGGTTTCCTGGAATATTCTTCATCCAGTGCCACAGGTTGGGTTTCCTGGAATATTCTTCATCCAGATCATCCACAGGTTGGGTTTCCTGGAATATTCTTCATCAAGATCCATAGGTTGGGTTTCCTGGAATATTCTTCATCAAGATCCATAGGTTGGGTTTCCTGGAATATTCTTCATCCAGATCCACAGGTTAGGTTTCCTGGAATATTTTTCATCCAGATCCACAGGTTAGGTTTCCTGGAATATTCTTCATCAAGATCCACAGGTTGGGTTTCCTGGAATATTCTTCATCAAGATCCATAGGTCGGGTTTCCTGGAATATTCTTCATCCAGATCATCCACAGGTTGGGTTTCCTGGAATATTCTTCATCCAGATCCATAGGTTGGGTTTCCTGGAATATTCTTCATCCAGATCATCCACAGGTTGGGTTTCCTGGAATATTCTTCATCCAGAGCCATAGGTCGGGTTTCCTGGAATATTCTTCATCCAGATCCATAGGTTGGGTTTCCTTGAATATTCTTCATCCAGATCCATAGGTTGGGTTTCCTTGAATATTCTTCATCCAGATCCATAGGTTGGGTTTCCTGGAATATTCTTCATCCAGATCCACAGGTTGGATTTCCTGGAATATTCTTTATCCAGATTTACAGAGCCACAGGTTGGGTTTCCTTTGTGCCCAGTGATGGGCTTGAAAGCCATCTAGATCCACAGGCTTGGGTTTCCTGTGCAGACCTTTGTTTAACCCATGGCTAGGAGCTTATCTGAAGTTCGTCTCTAAAGTTGACGAATTCTTGATTTCGCCAGAAGTTGAGAATCTAATCCTGCTTAGGCCTGGTGTTTCTTTTCTGAAATCTGAGGCCGAATTTAAAGAATTTGAATTAACTTGACTTAAAATTGTATTCAATGTTTTAAGATTCAAGCCGGCGCTCAATTGAAACCGGTTTTTGAGGGATTTAAGACGCGGCTCAAATTCATTACATTCGGACTCTGATCATTTAATTCGGCTTCTGTTGGTGGTGATTACAGGAGCAAATGAAAAAGCATCTACTTAGGCAATATTGTTTAAATTAGAACTGTCACAATGTTATGTTTTAAATAAGAAATAAAACCACCCAAATGGGGAATATCAATAATTTATTATTTATCAATTCACGCACCAATAAAAAAACAGAACCCCAGTCTGGTTTTCTATACTAGGCTTATTACATGGTAACAGTATGCTACCTTTGTATTTACACTATTTAATGCTTTTTGTCATCGTCATGAATTTTTAAGCATTTTCAAATATTAAATTTAAATTTTTTTTCTTCAAAATATTACACTGATTCCCTATTGAAATCTAGGAACCGGTTTTCTGAGAGAGAAAGTCGTCTTTGTATAAACGTGCTAATTTGTTAAATCATGATTGATACTGAAAAACGTTAATTTCTTGCTAACTCTAAAATTAAAAGTTACTGTTACTGAAAAAAACGTTTAAATATGGTGTCTTTGCAAAGGTATCATACATTTTCGCTGGCTTTTAAAATCGGCTTTTTCTCCGGTCATATATATCTTTGAAAAGTAAGACTAATATACCAATGCAATAAGTGAACGGTCCCATTAAGAAAATCTTTGATATTTCAAACTTTTGACTATCTGAACTAGCAAAGAGGTTGCTAAGATATAAGGCTTTGAAAATTAGAGTTTGTGACAAGTAATCTGTTCCTTTTAAATAATTGTGCTCCATATATGATATATGTACTTATTATAGTTCCACTCCCCTCTATCTCTTGTACAGGGTGTCCCACATCATATTGGATCGTGTTATATTGTTTTATTGTTGTTATATTGGATCGTGTTATATTGTTATAAATATATATCGATAGCTTTAAATTGCGATTTCCGGGACTTATCAGAAAATCTGAAAGAGCGAATTATTTAAAACATTGTGTATTGCTAATTTAAAGATTTGCATGCAGTTTTTTTTGAGTATTTTTTGCGTATTTTGACGTTAAAGCTTGGGAATAATCTAATATGATATAGGACGCTCTGTATGTATATTGATTTGATCTTGATAAACAAATAATTGTGAAGATAAAAATAGTTATTGACGTCATAGTTTTTCTTATCTAAAGGAGAATTTCGCGAGAATAAAAATTCTACTTTTTCGGTAAATTTGCATTTATTTAAGAAAAAATGCGAAATTTCACAAAAAAAAATATGAAATAAGGAAGGAATTTTTCGCGAAATTTCGCGAAAGTTTTCGTTCGCTGGAAACCCTGTAACAAGAGGAGGGGGGGGGGGGGGCGGTGACCCAAAAATATTAAGGGAGAGAGAATTTATCTTTATAACATTAGTTAACATGTAACTGAGAAGTTATTGTTAACAAATATTTTTAAGATCTGTGATATTAGATTGTCTTGTACTTGTGTTATTTCGCCCTAATATTGCTGTTCACTTACCTAGCTTGGATTTCTATATTCAGTTGTGAAAAAATGTCATCTTAACAGTGCCCTTTTCTTAATTAGAAAACGTAAATGAAAAACACAAACTTGTATGTTCTAATCCTTATATGTGCAACCTGATGGCGTGGACCTTTGATCTAACAAATTTTTTAGTCTAAAATAAATCAGGTCTACGACAGCAGGTTGCAAAAACGCCAAAGTTACTCCCCTAATTGTAAGGGTAGAATTTTCGCTATAATAGCTTATACTTGCTATTTTCAGACCACCACGAGCCCTTATATGATCATGTGCTTTCTATAATTCAAACTGTTCGTTTATGGTTCAAATAAAGATTTGTTTAATTTAGAAATCCAATTTATTAATAGTTATTATCTCTTTGAAAATTACATTACAATGTGTAATAAACCGAATTGCTATTCATGTAAAACTAATTAGATATGTTTTAATATGCTTTGATATTTGTTGTGTACATGTCGGAAAATTACTTTAAACTCAAGTTATTCTAATTAATGTATTAACTATTTTGCAAAAGATAAAATCGCCCCCTGATCTCTAATAGCTCTCCTTTAATATATTTAATTGAAATGTTTTGTTATCATTTTTGAAATTAGGTGGAAAAATAATCAAATCAGCTAAGAGCTATTTTCCACCTAATTGCTTTATACTTGTATACTGTTAATATAATCATCAATTTGTAATTGTAAACTCGTTCTGTTCTGTACACAGATACATGTATTTTAGCAGTACACTTTATCTTATCTTATCTTATTATTAATTCCCATGTTTTCTAGGTAATATCATTGTGTGAAGATGTGTTCTACGCCGGCTATGTCCAAACAGTCCGACGGATTTAGTACATGCATCAAATGTGACGTGTACATGAGCTCCGCGTACAAGAGTGTAAGAAAGCTATGTGTACTGGGAGGAATTTACTACATCTATCTGGGCAGTGCAGCGTATGAAAGCTACACAGATTGGAAATAGCAGATCATTATCTACAGGCAGCTTAGTCTTGATATAGTGTGCTACTTTTTAACTTCCAATACTCAGACGGAGTTGGTGTGAAATTAATAACAAGTGATTAAAAAACAATTAAAAATGAGTTTTCAACATAAGAATACAGGCAGTGGCGTCATGCTTAACCTTAGGAATTTGTGTTTTCACCTTTATAAAATATAGAAGATTTTTAAGCTGTTCTACAAAAACCATCTAAAAATAAAAGGAATATCGAAAAAACGTTCTTATTAACTTTGTATAAGCTATTTAACCTTCTTAAAGTAAAATAACACAAACATGTGATTCAGTGGGAGCCCGGTTGTTAAAGCCTTTCTGGCAGGTTCCTTCAGTGGCACTTGCTCAACAGTTCTTTTTCAACCTCTTGATCTTATCAAAACTAGAATGCAGCAGGTATAACAACTCAAGTTTAATTTCCAAATCGTTAAAGGGGTCCAATTTTGACGCTTTCCTATCCTTAGCTGAGATTCATAAAATACAGCCCAACCTAACTTTAACTCAAGGTTTCAAGTACGTGGTTGGCTTCTGATTGGCTATAAACAATGAGAGACTGCTTTCAAAGCTCTGATTTAATATGCAGTGCCCGGAGTTGCCCGTTGAATTAAAAAAAATTTCCAGCAATTTGGTCCAGCTGTTTGGCCAGCTAAGCTAACATATATGTATGTATATATTATATATAGCTCTGTTGGCTTAGCCATAATATAAACATATACATATAAACGAGCGAATAGCTTTAGTAGAAAGATTTTAAAAGTGTGTTTATCTGATAAATTAAGATCCAGCCTAAAATTCCTAAAATAGATAAAACCAACTTGATCAGTTTTACCTAAAACCAGGTCTGGGTAAAACTTGAGTCTTTACTTGGGTGTAAAAGACGCAAAAGCCAGGTTTTAGTCAGATAGGTTTAAGCTTTCTTAGGCTCAGCTCTGACAATGTGCAAATGACAACAGAACATTTACGAGCAACTTGTGGCATAAAAGGCAATATTTCTGGATGTCACAAATTAAGAGCAAAGACCTCTGTAATATTAGACTTGGTTGTGTTTGCTGCAAATGAAAATCACTAGGGTTGGGCAAAGTTCCCTTAACGAAACGGAAGTTTTCAAAAATAAATGTAAGAGTCCGTAACAAACGGCAAAAACTGTTGATTATCAATTAGTTGACGAAACAGATTAGTCGTTTTTTGGGGAAAAAAATAATGGTTGAAAACAAAAACGAAACGAATTATTTTTTAAACCGTGAATTTTGTTTGTTCTGCTGAAAATTGCATTGAACTTGTAAAAAGAAATTTATGTGGTTTAAGGTTTTAGAATTTTTTGGTGCTTCGCGCCATTAAATACTGTAATAGACTGTTAATGGCTGTGCCGTTAAGAATTTAATTACCGTTAACAATTTTTAGGCACTTCTTGGCGTTAATACTGTTGATTCTGTAATTATAATTGAAAATAATAATAAAATTGATATTGTAAACTAACTGTACCTTGAAAAATACTGATAACGAAAGAAGTTTCGTTCTTACCCTTTAAAACTAAATGCTTCCTGAGATTTTTTTGTAAAAATGGTTGGAACTAGCCGCTAACGAAGCCTTAAAAATGATTAGATTGACCAGTTTTGAAAAGCTAAGATTAATTTCTTCAAAACAAGATCTCTTTTGTCCCATATTTTTAACGATGATCTTTTTCTCTCCCAGGTTCAGGAGACAAGATTGGGAATGTTTGGTGCTACCAAACAGGTTATAGGTAATCATGTTTTTAATTAAATAATTATTTCAAAACTAGATTTTCTGTTACTTACACCTTGTTTTTTTTTAGTGAAAGAAAACCTCCTAGGATTGTGGAGAGGATTAGCTCCAAGTCTAGTTAGAACTGTGCCAGGGGTTGGCATCTATTTCTCCTCAATGCATACGTTAAAGACGTCCCTCTTCCAGGGATCCCCAAGTCCAACGCAATCTCTGTTTGTTGGTGCGTTCTCAAGAACACTGGCGGGGTGCCTCATGATCCCTGTTACCATTGTGAAGATTAGGTATATGATCAACTGTAAGCAATTTGCCTTTCGTGATTTTCAGGATAAAACTTTGATTTTCTATTTCATGTCTTCATGTAAGATCATTGGATCACTTAAAGCCATTGGGACTACATAAAAAATCTATTCAAAGTTATATGAGGAAATTTTATATTAAAAAGGGACTGAAAAAGTCTTAATGTCCTTGGACTAGATATTTTCACCTTTTCTTTGTTCTGCCTAACCCTTTAAGGGACAAGGGTCATATGGGCATCTTATAATGCTTAATAAGGTTTTGGATGTCAATAAAGTTGGACTTTTAAATCTTTTAAACCAATGCCTTTTATGTGCATCTGCTTTATCGCAGTAAAAACTGATTCACCAATAATGTTATTGTGTAGGAGTGAATCCGGACAATATGACTACAAGGGGGTTTTCAATGCGCTTCGGGCAATCAAGAATGCCGAAGGGTTGAGAGGACTTACGTCTGGACTAGTTCCTACACTCATGAGAGATGTCCCATTCTCTGGGATCTATCTAATGTTCTATGAGAAACTAAAGGTATAAAAACTTTTTAGTCAAATTATCTTGAAATATTTTTAGAAAGTTTATTCTGTAAATCTTTCAGGGAGTTGCCGCTACACACTCCAATGGCCATGCAGAACTGGAAAAATTTGGTTGCGGCATTGGCGCAGGGATACTGGCATCCGCTGTCACCCAGCCAGCTGATGTTGTAAAAACTAGACTCCAGTTGAAAACAGGATCCTCCATTCTTGTTGTCATGCAAGAAATTGCTATTCAAGACGGGGTCAGAGGATTCTTTGTTGGAGGGGTTCCCCGTATGCTGAGGAGAACAATGATGGCAGCGCTGGCCTGGACAGTTTACGAACAGGCGATGAGAAATATTGGAATCAAATAAGAAAAAATAAAAAACAAAAAAAAAGATAAAAATCATGAAAAATAAAAAAAAACAAAAAAGACAAATATTGTGTGCACACAACAATTGATGGACAACAGCTGCCATAAAGGTTGTCAAAGGTAGTTCTGAGGACAACATTATAACCATGTGAGATTTTGATATGGTTTAACAGGAAACATTGAATATCAGTGAATAGTTAAAGATTAACCATGTGAGATTTTGATATGGTTTATAGGAAACACTGAATATCAGTGAATATAGTTAAAGACTTCTCAGCTTATTATTTGGTCCAATTGTAGTCCCGAGTAGGACTACATTGGACTATACAGGTAGTACTAGTACTTATAATCATATATTCTTTTCTATTTAATCTTTGTATTTGTGTACTTGATTTCATGAAATAAAACTAATTGGCAAAATTTTTCTTTGTGTATAATTTGCTACATGATTTTAAAATGAGGGATAAAAAAATAGTCACACACTGATAATTGTTTTTAGGTCTTTAACTGCAATTATATTTTATTATAAAGATTCATTCACACACATATTTAAATGGTGTAGTTTAAATTTGTTTAAATAAATTTTTGAAAATACAGGTTTCCAAAAGAAAAGAGAAAAATATGCAAAATTATGCACAAATAGACAACATCGATCATTACTCATTACATAACATATTTATCATTTCAGTTATTACGTAATCATATTCCTTTTGGCAATAAATATTTGAAATATACATTGTACATAGACAAAGTAATCTATTAAAAGGAATTGAGTCTTTGTCACAAACTTAAATTTTCTAACCCCTATATCTATGCAACCTGACGTTGTAAACCTTAAATATTGAAAAAATATTGAAAAAATAGAAAAAAAAATTCCCAGTTGGAACAATTAAAAGCTTTAGTTGTTGATATGAAAGTGGGCGCGAAGCACACTTTATAACTAAATTTGCATTGATGGGAGGGGGGTAGGGGTGAACAAGAGAAGTCTCAGATATGATTGAGAAACGATCTCAAAAAGAGTTTTCAAAACAAAAATCCATCGTTCTTGAAATCGTTTTAAAAGAACTTCAGAAAATCTTACTGAAGAAAATGTTGAACCAGTAGCACCTAAATCAAAACCTATTTACTGATTAAACAAATTTTAATCTCTATCTTTCGATTGTAAAATGATCATTGTTCATGTTTTATTCTCAATAATTAAATATTTGAGTATAATTGAATAAAAATATAACAATTTTCAACTAATAAAATTTTACAAATTATTTCAAATTAGAAGGATTTCCCTCTTGTGAATCGATTGATCAGATCAAATGCACGTTTAGGTTGATCATGAGGAACCATATGTCCTGCAAATAAAATCAATTAATCAATCACAACACAAAATTTTCAATAATTCCTGTATAGATAGTATAAAAATATTGAAAAAAAGGTTTAACTATTCTAAGGTTTACTTACTCTAAGGTTTACCTACTCAAAGGTTTACCTACTCTAACGTTTACCTACTCTAAGGTTTACCTACTCTAAGGTTTACCTACTCTAAGGTTTACCTACTCTAAGGTTTACCTATACTCTAAGGTTTACCTACTCTAAGGTTTCCCTACTCTAAGGTTTACCTAACCTAAGGTTTCCCTATTCTAAGGTTTACCTACTCTATGGTTAACCTACTCTAAGGTATACCTACTATAAGGTTTACCTACTCGAAGGTTTACCTACTCTAAGGTTACCTATACTCTAAGGTTTACCTACTCTAAGGTTATCCTATACTCTAAGGTTTGTCTCCTCTAAGGTTTACCTGCTATAAGGTTAACCTACTCTTAGGTGTACCTACTCTAAGGTTTACCTACTCTAAGGTTTACCTACTCGAAGGTTTACCTATACTCTAAGGTTTACCTATACTCTAAGATTTACCTACTTTAAGGTTTACCTACTCTAAGGTTTACCTATACTCTAAGATTTATCTACTCTAAGGTTTACCTACTCTAAGGTTTACCTACTCTAAGGTTTACCTATACTCTAAGGATTACCTATACTCTAAGATTTGCCTACTCTAAGGTTTACCTACTCTAAGGTTTACCTACTCGAAGGTTTATCTATACTCTAAGGTTTACCTATACTCTAAGATTTACCTACTCTAAGGTTTACCTACTCTAAGGTTTACCTATACTCATAAGGTTTACCTATACTCTAAGGTTTACCTACTCTAAGGTTTACCTACTCTAAGGTTTACTTACTCTAAGGTTTACCTATACTCTAAGGTTTACCTATACTCTAAGATTTACCTACTCTAAGGTTTACCTACTCTAAGGTTTACTTACTCTAAAGTTTACCTATACTCTAAGGTTTACCTATACTCTAAGGTTTACCTACTCTAAGGTTTACCTATACTCTAAGGTTTACCTATACTCATAAGGTTTACCTATACTCTAAGGTTTACCTGCCCCAAGAACTACTACAAAAGTAAAGTTCCCAGAAGATGTTGCGTACCCAGCCAAATCTGAACCTATTCGCCACTGTTTGCGTTCCGCCTAATATTCAATTAATGTATCTAATATTCATGGTTTACATGGGTATTATTTGTTTGCTATAGTTTCAATATCAATAGATTTGAGATTTATTCGCCACTATTTACGTTCCGCCTAATATTCACTGTTTACGTTCCGCCTAATATTCAATTAATGTATCTAATATTCATGGTTTACATTGGTATTATTTGTTTGCTATAGTTTCAATATCAATAGATTTGAGATTTATTCGCCACTATTTACGTTCCGCCTAATATTCAATTAATGCATCTAATATTCATGGTTTACATTGGTATTATTTGTTTGCTATAGTTTCAATATCAATGGATTTGAGATTTATTCGCCATTGTTTTTGTTCCGCCTAATATTCAATTGATGCATCTAATTTGAGTCACAGAAGATTGTAGTAAGATTTTGACTCCACTGGAGACCACCGGAGGGAATTAATTTTCACTGGAGGGGTTTGAAAAAATCCTATTTACAATTTATAACTGTACGCAGGGTGATTTACATTCCTCTGGAGGGATTCAGATATCTTTCCAGGGGGTTTATAATTCCACAGGAGGGATTCAGATATCTTTCCAGGTGGTTTATAATTCCACAGGAGGGATTCAGATATCTTTCCAGGGGGTTTAAAATTCCACAAGAGGGATTCAGATATCTTTCCAGGGGGTTTATAATTCCACAAGAGGGATTCAGATATCTTTCTAGGGGGTTTATAATTCCACAAGAGGGATTCAGAAATCTTTCCAGGGGGTTTATAATTCCACAAGAGGGATTCAGATATCTTTCCAGGGGGTCTAAAATTCCACAGGAGGGATTCAGACATCTTTCCAGGGGTTTTATAAATCCATTGGAGGGATTCAGATATACTTCCTATGGGTTTATAAATCCACTGGAGGGATTCAGATGTATATCCAGGGTTTTTTAAATTCCACAGGAGGGATTCATATATTCTTTCCATGGGGGGTATATAATTCCACTGGAGGGATTCAGATATCCATCCTATGGGTTTATAATTCCACTGGAGGTATTCAGATATCTTTCCTAGGGAATTATAATTCTACTGGAGGGTTTATATATCTATCTAGAGGGTTTATACTTCCACTGGAGGGATTCAGATATCCTTTCTAGGGGTGTATAAAACTAATTCGCAAACATTTTATTAATTCACTGAGTTAGTAAAATTTACCTTTTGAAAATCTTCCTTTCCCTTCCAGTCTAGATTATTTACCATGTTGACAGTCAGAGAAGTTGCAACTATAATATCCAACTGTCCGTTATATATCAATACTTTGTATCCTAAAATAACATTATTAAAGTAGTTGCAACTATAATATCCAACTGCCCGTTATATATCAAAACTTTGTAACCTAAAATAACATTATTAAAGAAGTTGCAACTATAATATCTAACTGTCCGTTATATATCAATACTTTGTATCCTAAAATAACATAGTTGCAACTATAATATCCAACTGCCCGTTATATATCAAAACTTTGTAACCTAAAATAACATTATTAAAGAAGTTGCAACTATAATATCTAACTGTCCGTTATATATCAATACTTTGTATCCTAAAATAACAAAATAACATTATTAAAGAAGTTGCCACTATAATATCCAACTGCCCGTTATATATCAATACTTTGTATCCTAAAATAACATTATTAAAGTAGTTGCAACTATAATATCCAACTGTCCGTTATATATCAATACTTTGTATCCTAAAATAACAATATTAAAGTAGTTGCAACTATAATATCCAACTGTCCGTTATATATCAAAACTTTGTATCCTAAAATAACATTATTAAAGAAGTTGCAACTATAATATCTAACTGCCCGTTATATATAAATACTTTGTATCCTAAAATAACATTATTAAAGTAGTTGCAACTATAATATCTAACTGTCCGTTATATATCAAAACTTTGTATCCTAAAATAACATTATTAAAGTAGTTACAACTATAATATCTAACTGTCCGTTATATATCAATACTTTGTATCCTAAAATAACATTATTAAAGTAGTTACAACTATAATATCCAACTGTCCGTTATATATCAATACTTTGTATCCTAAAATAACATTATTAAAGTAGTTGCGACTATAATATCCAACTGCCCTTTGTATATCAAAACTAAGGTTTCCAATGCAAGTGGATTTTACTTGCGCGCAATTACGAACCCTTGGGGGCAAGTGAATTTAATTGCGCGCAATTTCGTAATAATTTCGCGCAATAAACGCAACAGAATTGCAAGTTATATAGCGCAATTCTGTCCAACTCTCCTGCGTTTGTGTTTCAATTTTTTGATAATTTTTAATTTAAACTTTATGGCACGCAAATAAATGCAATTATTATTGCGCAATTCCGTTCAACAACAAAAGATTCAATTTAAAGTTACTGAAAGTTACTAATTAAAATTAATTAAATTAAATACACTGTAATGTTGTATTTCTGTTCCATAGTTTTTGGTTCTCACTTTAGCAAAATATATAATTTTGATTAAACGAACCTTAACATTTTAACCAAAAAAATTATCATATTGAATCATTAATTAGCAGCTTAATCACATGATACATGATAGAATTTGAAAACTGTTAAAACATGTGATCGTCAGGCTTGATTATTTTAAAATCTACAGAGATATATGTATCTGTTCTTGTATCTGCTACATAAATTTGTAAGTCACTGATAAAATTATTGATTTTTAGATAGAAAAGCAATTCAGTTGAACTCAACTCCGCGCAATTCCGCGAATATATAATTGCTTCTTTGTTCGCAATTCGGTACAATGAAATGGCGCAAGCGGAAGCAATAATTTTGCGCAATTCCGTGCAACAGAATTCCGATTGGAAACCCTAAACAAAACCTTGTATCCTGAAATATAATTGTAAAGGTTTGAAATCAACAATAAAAGGAATTGAAGAAATTCAAATTTTTTATTCTAAAATATTTTTAACCAAATGTCGTGCACCTTTGATATTTCATGCTATGAATACTATTAGATTAAATAGTCTCAGTTTGTAATATCAATAATTTTCACCATCAGGTTGTAAAGATATATAGATTGTAGAAAATTAAAATTTGTTGTGGGTGTTCAGCTTTGAAAATCTGGATTCTGTTATCATTATAAAACAAAGTAGTATGTCGATAGAAATATTAAATGGGAAGAAATTTCATTGAAATAGATATTTCTAGTCAGGTTGTCATACAACATTTTTCATTTTTTTCAAATGGTGAATATATTAAAAACTTCTAGTATATAGATAAATAAGAAAAAGTAGATTACTTTTTGGCTCAATTCATACTTCGAACTCCTCTACCTGAATCTAATAGTTCCTCTAGGGCAGGTTTCACTGATTGCATCATATCCTGGAGAAGATGTTTCTCTACAACCAGTGCTTCATCAGAGAAGGAAAGATTCCCAACATGAATTCCTTTCCTGAAATTTTACAGAATTACGGGCTTGGAAACTCAGCTTTGCCAAAAAACTATTTTTTTCTTTAAAGTTCAAATCCCTTGCTTTTTTAATCAAAGCTTAGAACTTATCCGTGGCTCTACCAAGTTCCGCAATCAAAATTTGAGTGAAATTGGTCATTGTGATCGGACCACAGCACAGATTAGGTTGTCCAAGAAGGACCGCGGACCACAGATTAGGTTGTCCAAGAAGGACCGCGGACCCCCCTGCCTATCTATCATGAAAGAGATTTACAAAACAGTCAGCTGCATGTAGCTGTATATTTCAAGTTAATCAATCAATCGAGGCGTAGAATTTGTATATTTCCGCAGTGTGTTCAGTGGGTTCTTTAAGCCTATTGTGATATTTTACATGAACGTTGCGGCACTTTTAAACTCGTCAGACGCCCGGTACGCGTCAACCCTTCATATATATCTACCTGATCTGTGGATCGGACATACAAACAAACAAACAGACATACAGAGATTACAACTTTATATTTATTGCAATTAGTGCAATACATAGTCATTAGTCGTACTTATATATCTATTGTGTAATTGTGATTGAGCCGAAAGTGAGGAATCTTTGCAAAAGCAAAGTTGTAGCCCTGGGTTATAGCCTGTAGGTTGACCCGTTCGCGTTTTACTATTTTAAATCGCGTTTTAAAGTGTGAAGACGACCTCTAATCAACATGACTCATTTTTCAAAATTGTTGGCAGTATATGAATGAGTCACTGCGTTTTATGTTTCAGAGCCGTATCTCCAAAAATGAAGTCTCTGCAGCGCTCGGTCCCTGGGAACGTTTACGCTTAGATCTCGCGGCGTTTTTGAGCAAAACAGCTAATTTTTTGTAGCTTCTCCAATCCATGCCAAGACTAATGTTTTTAAAAAAAGAGATTGTTAGAAAAGTAATGAAAAGTGTGTTCGACAAATAAAATGGTCAATCCACTTTTCAATAAAGTATAGTTAATTTTAACAACATATCAACATCTTTAAATACAAACTTAGTTTTAAATTGACCTGAAAAATATAACTAATGCTTTACACAATTGATTATTTTTTATTTCATTTATGCTATCTTAGATCTGATGAATTTTCAAAATTTTTACTTTTACAAGTAGCTACAAAATGTTTACTTTAAAAATATTTTCACGTTTTAATGAAAAAAGCATGTCTAAAAAACCTGCACTACATCTATCGGGAAGATGTAGAACTATAAGATGATTAAATATATCATGGCATTCATAGTTATGTTTAGAAATTAATAATGCGCCATGATTGGCAGAGCCTGATTGAATCGAGTGACTTGACCAATAGATGGCCTCAGACCGGGGTTTCTGGGTAGGATAGATGGCTAAGCAGGATCCTAAAGTGTCCCGGCAGGCCATGCAGCATGCTACAGTTTCATGTTAATTCAACAGTAAAAAAATAGAATTTTATAATATCAAGAGAAGATTCCTCGAGAACTATATTTGGAAACTTTAAGTTGCGAGATTTTTAAGATTGACTAAGTTGCGAGATTTTACAGAGTGATATTTTAGAATGACGAGGTTGTGACCATAGAGAATAGAATATATATATAGAGAGGAATTAACTAGAAAAAAGTGTAAAACGGCCATTTTGTTGTACTGTTTCCATACTGCAGACTTCACATATTTGTGCTATATAACCTTTAGGGCCCTGGAATTATTTGATTTTCTGTAAGTCAATTCTCTGATAGCCTGTCATGCACACGTGGATAAAAATCAATCTAAAATTTTTTTTTCATGAAAAACATATTCCTATAATTGTAGCCTGCAGGTAATCAAAGAGGGAAAGCCAATATTTTAGAAATATTCAAGATATCAACATATGGTTCAACTTTTTTTCCACCAAAATTGAGGATGGAGATAAACTTAATATTTTAAATTCATTAAATACACAGTTGGACCCATAAAACTCTGGAAGAGAAGGTCGAAATTTAAATATGTTTCATGTTTGATGGGTTAGTTAAACTTGTAGCTTGAGTCTAAACACAGTTAAAAACTATTTTGGAATCAGAATCTTCAGTTCAAAAGTTTTCTTTAACTAAATGTTTTGAAAATAAAATCTAAAATTAATATTAAAAAAAAAAACAAATTATGAAATAGGCTGATTTCATAATTGAGTAATTGACCAATGATCATTTCACATAGACTTTCACTTTACTAACGATGATTTTCCGTTATAACTATAAATCAAATGATATTTTTTTTTCACCTAATTCAAATTATAAAGTTTATTTAACAGCTTTAAAAAATTCGAAATTGAAATGGATAGTCTAAGCCTGAAATTTAAAAGAGTATCGTTGAACAAAACTCCCGAGTTTCCTTTTTGGGGTCTTAATATTTGTGTAGATTTTGATTTATGAGATTCGAAAAAAAGGAGAATATGAAAACACTAAATAAAATAATATTTCATAACAAAAGTATTGATATCTACAAAACTGCCTAATCCCTTCCGTGAAAACCAGGTTTCAGAACTTGTTTTCATAACGATACCCTGTCTTAAGTTTTGGGCTCTAGGGAACATACTGTATTAATGTACTCTACTGCATATAATTTGTGAACATTTACATGATTTGTACACTTTGAACTCCCTTTCAGGTTGAAAGGGACTGAAAAAATTCATACCGAGAGATTCTTTTAATTCCTCTCTATATATTATTCTATTCTCTATGGTTGTGACACTTTTTAGATTGACTATGTTACGAGAGTTGTTTACATTAAATTTCGCTTAGTGCTGTATAGAGATAAGAGAATAAGACTACAAAGAACAATGCTCTGTAAAAAAAATCGCCAATTTAAAGGGAGTGACCGGCTATGTAAGGTAGTTGAACTGAGTATGCAGTGTTGTGGAAAACTTCTTTCGGATACATTTGAGACATATTAAACTTTTTAAAGATCTGTAAATCTTGAGTTTGATCGCAAATTTGACGTTCAAAACTCCTACTTTGTCAATAAATCAATGCTAAAATCGATTATTTCGTTTTCATTATTATATTGAATTTCTTATTTTCTTTGAATTTATTCGCAGATTTCTTTAAATTCTTCTAATGTCGTCGATCCTTTCAATAATAATTCTAGAAAATCTGCAGAAAATTTTTGTGAATAATGAGAAAATAGAAACTAATAATTGAACAAAATTACAATTACTTTCGATGATAAGATTGATTTTTATTTTCTCGACATGCTCCTATACATGACGTCGGTAGTTTATTGTAGAACTTTTTTAAATTTTATGTCGTCGTTATTTGATAATAAAAAAACTAATTCTGAAAACGTATCCACCCCCAAAGTAGGAGTTTTGAACGTCGAATTTGCCCTAGAACCCCGAACGACTGATAGGGCCGGGAGGCATCACCCTAAAGACACCTTAAGGGGGGGGGGGCGTTGTTGTGGACCCTCCCCTTTAGATCAGATATATCTTGACAACTTTGAAGATAATTCATCATATTTTAGGAACACGTCGACTTTAAACTGTCGTAACGACTTGGGTTTTGGTTTTATCCCATCAACTCGCGTATAATGTTTTGGTTTTATCCCATCAACTCTCGTATAATGTTTTGGTTTTATCCCATCAACTCTCGTATAATGTTTTGGTTTTATCCCATCAACTCGCGTATAATGTTTTGGTTTAATCCCATCAACTCTCGTATAATGTTTTGGTTTTATCCCATCAACTCTCGTATAATGTTTTGGTTTTATCCCATCAACTCGCGTATAATGTTTTGGTTTTATCCCATCAACTCGCGTATAATGTTTTGGTTTTATCCCATCAACTCGCGTATAATGTTTTGTAGCCTTGGACATGTTCATTTCAAAAATAAGATTTACTTAATTCTAGCTTCAATTTGAAAGTAGTTATAGGCAAAATTCTTTAAAAAAAATTTTTTTTTTTGGATTTCAGTAACTGCAAAACAATTTTTTATTTTGTATTTAATTCGACCCTGTAAAAAGTCCTATTGTCCTAAATTTTTCAAACGCGTTCATTGGACCAGTTTTGTATGTCATGGGGAGGGAGGCCGGGGGTAAGAACTTTAAAGGAATCGAGTATTTGCCACAAACTCTGGTTTTCTAATCCCTACATATTTCAAACTATTAATTTGGCTAGATCAAATAATATAAGTTTAAAATATCAAAGGTTTACACCACCAGGCTACAAAGATATAGGGATTAGAAAATTTCTTTCCATGGCAAAGACTCAATTCCTTTGAAAAATGATTACCGAGTTGATTCCTGTTCCAAGTAAGCTGTGAAGTATTCAAAATCCTTGGGTTGTTCAGGTCTCAGGAAGTTAAAATAATTCGTATATCCTGGACTCAGGGGAATTTTAGAAACTCTTAAAAAATCCGAATTTTGAAGAAAAAATAATTTTGAAGAAAAAAGTTTGTCCCAGCCGTTTACATATATCTATAAACAAATATACAAATGTATATATATAAGCGAAGAGCTTTATTATATAGATAGATAGATAGATAGATCCAGACTGCTATGAACAAATTTTTAAGACAGGGTTGACTGTAAAGTATGGCAACGCCTTGCCCTTTGATTTGCCCTTACTAACTTAGTTATTCTTTTTTTTTTGTATGAGTTTACTATGATATTGTTTTGTACCAACTGACGTGCCCGGCGTTGCCCGTGGAATTTACAAAAAAAGGGTGAAAAAAAATTTAATAATTTGTTTTGAAGCCTTTGTTACGTCCGGGGTACCCCTGTGTTCCCTAAAAAATTCAGCCCATTCGGTCCAGCCGTTTGGCCGGCTACAGGGAACATATATACGAATGTTTTGTTTTATTATATATGAGATTACTAAACCCAAGCCTCAAACTCTATTTTCATTCTCTATATCTTTGCGACCTGAGTCAAAACCGGTTTCAATTGAGCGCCGGCTTAAATCTTGAAACATTGAATACAATTTTAAGTGGAACCAACCATATTTGAGCCGCGGCTTAATTTTAAGCTGAGGCTCAAATACTTTAAATTCGGCCTCAGATAGTGTAAACTTATTGCAAGCTTAGATCATTTGATCTAACCTAATTTAGAGTTTGAAATAACAAAGGCCAACAACATCTTGTTGCAAACATTAGATTAGAAAATTAGAATTTGTACCTAGAGTTCAGTTCCTTTCATTTTTTAGAAGGATGAGAGACCCTTGGATGTAAATATTTATTGAAAAGAAACATGTCATCTAAAACCTCCCTTACTTACTGATCTCCATCCCAAAAAACTTTGTCATGAAAAAAAATCAAACTTTTTGATGATTAATCTAATTCTAATATATTCCTGCCTGTCATATTAGTGAAGAGTGAAGGATTAATATCCCCGTTTAGAAGCTGATCAAAGATTGTAAAAGCTTTCATCCAATCCTACAAAATATAAAATTATATATAATTGTTAAATAAATGTTCTAACATGAGTCTCAAACAAAGGTCTAGGCCCAAACTGTAATCGTGTCTTGAAAATACACTGCACTGCAATGATAAAAACAAGAAAAATTCTGTAATTTACGAAATGATGCAATTATAAAGTTTTGAAAAGCTTTAAGTTCTTAGTTAAAGGGGGAAAGAGTTTGTTTTTGACGTATTTGTGCAATGTGAATGCGTACAATCAAAAACAACAAAGATTGAAAATAATTTGGATCTTTTTTCATAAAAGATTGTTGGACTTTTAAAAGGTACGACAAAATCTCTGATGCGTTCTGCGTTCTAAAAAACTAAAAAACACTTTTATTTTAACGATCGATTTGGTTCGTTTTTTGCTTTTATCTTCTCTTAATTTCACTAGAAGAAGATAATTCCACTTGAAGAAACCTTGCAAAGGACCTCCTTAGTTCTTTTACTGCTTGTCTGGCAGACTGCTAATTAGCTCTCACAGGTTTTACAATTTTTAAAGAAAACTATTCCTTTAAACATAAAACATAAAATTTATGAATTTGGTCTTATTTTGAAGGTTTTGTATTTCGTAACCAATGGGATTCTTAAATATCTCTGAGAACAGAGGTCTGATTGTTGGTCGTGTACTCCAGTTGTACACAATGAAACATACTTTGAAAATATCCCATATTCTAGCCTTCAATAGATCTCTGTACCAGGGGGGGGGAACGTCATGTGTGTGTGTTTGTACCAAAAGAGTGTGTGTAAGTTTTAACGAACCGAAGGCGTGTTACCTACACAGTACATAAGAATCTCGGTATTTGTACAGTCTAGAAGAGTATATTTGTTTATTATTAGTTGTTTACTTAAAAATAAGTTTAATATACATGCAATATATTATTTACATATCTAAGTCAACGCTATAAAGCCAAATTTCAATGCAAAGAATATAATTTACTTAAAGTTTAAAATAAACTTCTCGTTATACAAGTTTAATTATAATTGACGACATTGTTCTGCAATTTCCTTGACTGTAGTCATGTTGTGTGTCTGTACCAAAAGAGTGTGTGTAAGGAATACCAAACTTGTCGGCAATGAAGTACAACTGGCTTTCGCATGCTAGACCAGCGCCATTTCCTTTCCCTTTATTCTTATTCCCTGCTCTGTACTCTATTATCTCGGGTTTTGACTTGCCTTGTTTGCTATAGCATCTCTTGTTTGTTTACTTCTGTCCTGAAAAACCAGTTTCTGGTTGAAATCTATCAGACCAATGTTGTACAGTACATCTCCGTACTCGGTTTGACTAAAAATAGAAGGGTTAAATGAGGTGTACAGTTCACTGTATACTGTATAAGGTGTCCTATGAGCTTGTTCATTGCACAATAAACTTGCACATGGATGGGTGGGGAAAATATATCGATTTTAAAATATAGGCACCAACATTATATCGTCCAAAAATATAACTGACAGAAATGTAACTTTGTTTTGACCAAAAGTATAATTAACTACTTTATTTATAACCAGCCAAGATTTTTGGCAAAGAGTTCCTTCTTTCAGTTGAGATGTTGAGCCAGGATAAGCTGAAGATGGAGTTCTTGATTACTATTTAAATCCTATGTTTTGCTACTCCCCTATAGGATAAGTTATTATTATTTCTGCAAGCAGAAAGCAACTGATAAAATTGTTAAGAAATATGATGAATTTGTTGTTAACTTGTTATGATCCGCCTTCAATTAAACGGAACTGGGGAGAAAAAAGTGTTTACTTGTTACGGATCTAGCTAGAGGGTCGAAAACCGTGCAGAAGCCCAAGGAAGTTATGTGTGCATGCCGCTTAGAATTACAAGAAAGAGGGAGAGCCTTTTTTAGCCGCGGCGCTCACACCCTTAGCCTGATCTAGCCGCGGTGCTCGGCCCCTAGCCTGTTCTCGCCGCAGCACTTGGTCCAGAAAGTTTCTTAACCTAACCAAACCCTAAAATATAAACTAATCTCTTGTAATTTAACGCAGGAGGTGCGGCGTAACTTCCTTGGGCAACTGCCCAAACAACTTGGATTATGAGGAATATATCTGTAACAGTTGCATAGATAAAGATAGATTGCGCATAAGACGACATTTTTCATCTTGAAAGATAAAAATGTACAGAGATGTTTTAAAGATATTCCTATTATATAGATTAACTAGGTCGGTTGTGAACATTGGCTGTTCCTATGTGATTGAGTACTTGTGGTGTACATGAGTTCTGAAGAGAGAAATTTAAGTTAGTTTAGTCCTTCTCATGTCCTTCTTCCGCTCTCAAAATAAAATTCACTCCTGAGTGGTTTAATAATTATGAAAGGAGATATGCATTTTGACACATATTTCTGCTTTTGTTTCTCCCTAATATTACAAATAATTCCTAGAGCTTCAGCTAGCTCCCTTTTAGACAATTTTCTTTTTCATACTATTCTTCAATTTGATATATTGGATCAGAAATATCAAATTCAGTATGATAGAAAGTTACTGTTTGTGAGTAGATATCAGATGTATTTGCAGTTTTCAGTATTGTTTTCTTATCCAGGAATTTCTAACTCAAAAACTGTTGAAGGTTAGCTTCAAACATAACTTTCTCAATATTCTTACAGGTTGAAAAAATAAAAGTCACTGCACTAAGCGGGGTTTGAAAATTCTGAAGATATCAGAATTCCGTCTTAATAATGACAAATAGGATAAGGAGCGGATATTTTTAACAAAAGAAGTCTTCATTTTTGTAAGTTCATCTCGAACACAGTGTTTCAGAATAAAGCCTTGCCTATGGCAAACTTTTCCTTGCAGCCGGCAAAGTACAAACTGGTATCATAGTGCATGGTGCACACCCTATCAGGATTCTACTTTCCATGTTTCCATTTTCCTTGTTTCCATGGAGAGAGGGAAGGGAAAGAGAAAGAGAGAGAAACCCCTCCTTCTCTGCACTATTCTTTTCTTTTTTCTAAGTAGGGTGTACTGCCATGTTATTCCACATAGAATTCTGTTCAGCGACAAGAAACTGGAGTGAGTTGTATAAGAACCTGACTTTTCTGAGCTCCCTTGATGCTTACACAACCAGATTCAATCGAAAGAATTAAGGTCTTTCCGACAAGTTTGGATACTTAATAACAGCTAACCAGGTTTGTACAAGTTTGGATACTTAATAACAGTTAACCAGGCTTGTACAAGTTTGGATACTTAATAACAGTTAACCAGGCTTGTACAAGTTTGGATACTTAATAACAGTTAACCAGGTTTGTACAAGTTTGGATACTTAATAACAGTTAACCAGGCTTGTACAAGTTTGGATACTTAATAACAGTTATCTATTAGTAAATTATCAGAGCTGGTGCCCCCATTATAAAAACACATCAAAATTGGAAATCCTAGATTTGATTTCACCTGACAGGATCAATCAAACCATCTCCAATAGCAAGTCCTTTCAGGTTAATTTTTTGTCCTTTATTTTCAGAGAGTATTTTGTTTTCCTAATCACAGACAACATTTCATAAATAATTTGTTGATAAATTCTAACATTTCTTATTTCATTTTCTAATGGATTTAATAGATAATAATAATAGCAAATTATTTTTTATTTATTCTTCAAAACTAATATAAAAATGTTCCAAGATGAATATATGAAAGTGTCTGAGAAAGTTTCTGATAAATTCAAGATGAATATCGTTAACTAACTTAGGGCCAACCACTCAAAACAACCTACCCTGGTTAGGCGGGTCCAAACTGCAGAGTAAATTGTGATTGTTTATTTGTAATATCTCTTGCTTTATAGTTGAATAAAAATTCAATATGAAAACATGAATAAATATTTAAAAGTGTTCCTGATAAATTCAAGATAAATATATGAAAGTGTTCCTGATAAATTCAAGATAAATATTTGAAAGTGTTCCTGATGAATTCAAGATAAATATATGAAAGTGTTCCTGATGAATTCATGATAAATATATGAAAGCGTTCCTGATAAATTCAAGATAAATATATGAAAGTGTTCCTGATAAATTCAAGATAAATATTTGAAAGTGTTCCTGATGAATTCAAGATAAATATATGAAAGTGTTCCTGATGAATTCATGATAAATATATGAAAGCGTTCCTGATAAATTCAAGATAAATATATGAAAGTGTTCCTGATAAATGCAAGATAAATATATGAAAGTGTTCCTGATAAATTCAAGATAAATACATGAAAGTGTTCCAGATGAATTCAAGATAAATATATGAAAGTGTTCCTGATAAATTTTGTATGAAAATGATGGAACATATTTCCCGGCGTAGGATTCTCCCGTTATATAAAGGTCGCGTTCCTAAAATATGTTCAATTATTAGAATAACATTACATTATCCTTCATAATTACAACATTAATATTTATAATTAACTTATTATCAGTTATAATTTCATCATGATCATTCATAATTACATTATATTCTTTAATAATTGCATCCAAATACTTTATAATTACTTACTGATTGTTAATGATAATATCATGATCATTAGTCAAAATATTGGCGCTACGACATCTGCTCTATTTCCATTTTCTCTATGGTCATTTGCTCTAGTTCCATTTGCTCTATTAACCATTTGCTCTATAGCTCATAGATCACGACGTTTGCTCAATATATCATCTGCTCTATACGTCAATTGATCTATGACATAACACGTCATTTGCTCTATAAACATTTTTATGACTGTGATGGTCCAATTGCTCTACTCAACATTTGCTCTATGAGTAAACACGTCATTTGCTCTATAAACATATCTATATTAAATATCTAATCATATTAAAACAATATTTTTACAATTTTACATTTTACAATTCTTCCTACAGTTTCATTATTCCGCCAACTTCCTGGAGATAGTTTTGTTTGTCTGCTATTTGTACATATTGTGAGACCAAGTTAAATATTAGGTGTTATTATTATTATTATTATTATTGAGCAGTCTCGCTGTCATGATGGACTTTGAAGAACTGATGAAAACTGCAATTTGCGAATTTTCAAAAAAAAATTCCCGCATTTCATAGTCCAGTTACGCTCAGGAATTCCAATAAAAGCTATTTTATAGTGTATTTTCATGTTATAGAGCAAATGACGTGTTTAGTCATAGAGCAGATTGAATATAGAGCAAATGACATATAGAGCAAATGACGTATAGAGCAAATGACTTGATAGAGCAAATGGCCATAGAGCAAATGACCATAGAGCAAATGGAAATAGAGCAGATGTCGTAGCGCCTAAACCAATAGCTGCGATTAAATTCCAATTAAATAAACTGAACACCTCTCGCCCTGGTTTATCCAGTGTGTAGTGACATAAAAATCAGAACATATCATTAAAGTTGATTTTAAAGCATACTGGTAAAACTATTTTTAGAACCACATTAAATCACGTAAGATTAAATGTCGTCTTTATATTCCATTGGATTATGGCTGCCACTGTAATTGTTACATACATATTACCTTGAGATCTGTAGCATTGATGAATGCCGCGTCCTCACTTGCTAGAAATGAAACTGCCGCGGCAACCTCGCTCATCTCTCCCAACCTGAGCATCCATATTCAGAGGTTGGAACTACATGTATTGTTAATCCTTTTAAAAAGAACCATACTTTTAGCGGTTTCAGGGATTAAATTAAATCCTTTTGAATATCTTTCAGAGTGTCCTAATAAACATGGGAATCGAGAGACGACTGGAATATCGTCTTTGATTTCAGATAATTGATAAATGACATAAAGTGCAATGAAAATATACTGAAAGTCTAATAAGCTTTCTAAAATGGGGTCTACCTTCTTTGTATTTTTAAAATTGACGGAGATATTTGATCAGTTTTGTTGATTTTTAAGGTAAAAAAATGGTAGACCTTAAATTTAGGAAATCCTGACACTAGTAGTTTTTCGGCGTTAAATGTTTTGATTGTGATACTACACAATTATGTTCACGAAAAAATCCTGGATAGAAAAAAAACGATGTAGAAGTCGTCATTTAATTCCAATGTTTATTGGGACACCTTGTAGAAGATTGTATAATCAAAAGTCAAATATTGAATCTTCTCAAGGGCTATGGAAAGATTGCACAGACCACTGTTTATCACAGATTAAACACTAAACCGTTCAAATTAAAAGTTTCCATGTTGGATATCCAGGTTAAAGAAAAGAGCCATCTTATGAAAAAGTCAAGACCTAAGCTGTCCCAATATAATTTATAAATTAGGGAATAATATTGTGACGATCAAAAATTTCTTTTAAGGAAATTAAATTTTTCACAGAGACATTAAATATTTCGACAATTATGTTCTTCCATATTTTTAAAGTAAAATGTGACAAGTTAAATTTTGAAAATCCTATTTACTGTTTTCAGAAAATTTACTTAAATATCGGAATGGTTTCTAGAGCAATCAAAAATGTTTTTAGAACAATCTTAAAGTTTCTAGAACAGTCTTAAAGTTTTTAGAACAATCTTAAAGTTTTAAGAACAATCTTAAAGTTATTAGAACAATTTTAAAGTTTTTATGACAATCTTAAAGTTTCTAGAACAGTCTTAAAGTTTTTAGAACAATCTTAAAGTTTTAAGAACAATCTTAAAGTTTTTAGAACAATCTTAAAGTTTTCAGAACAATCTAAATGTTTTTAGAACTATTTAAAACATTTTTACGTCGCCCTAACTTTCTATTTATTAGAAAATTTCTCAAAGATTTAAAGAAATATCAAAAAAATGTTTTGACACGCTTACGACAAAATGCTGTTATTACAATGTATAAGCATTTGAATAGATTTTTATAAAGCTGCACCTAGCAGTCGAACATCCTGAGTCCGCGATTTAAAAAATTCGGGGAAATACGGTTCGGGTCTAAGCTGTCGTTGGACCTTATTTACGGCTTGAGCTTTCGGATTAAAGCTGCATCTTATTTTCCACAGAGTTGAATTCAAAAAACCGGTTTAATATTCTATTTGGCGGATTTTCATGGTAGGAATTGGCGCACTCCCAGTTTTTATGAGAACTAGACGCAACATTGAGTAAGGCTCCACTAAAACCAATCAAGGTCGGTTTTATTTTCATTGGGCCTAACTCCTTAAGTCGAGCCGAAGATCTTTCAGCTGTCAATCACGTGACACAAGCTGTCGTTAGAGTTGGGTCGAAGATTGGGTCTTAAAGTTGGGTTTAAGGAATTACGACTCGAGCCGAAGTTTTTAAATCGCGGGCTCTGGATTGATAGAAAAAGAATAATACAGGGTGTCCCACAAAACATGACAGTAGCAAGACCATATGAAAGTTGTTTTTGAACTTTAAATTTATTGAAAACATTCAGTCGTCAATCTACTTTCACATGTATGATTCATGAATCAATATCCGCGATATTCTCCAAGTCCTGGTATTTCCAAAATGTGGTCTGCCTTCTTTGTGCTGTTAATATTACCGGAGATATTAAGAATTTCGTTCAGATTTCAATTTTATTAAATAAAACCAAATCTGATCGAAATTCTTCAAATCTTCGGTAATATTAAAAGAACAAAAAAGGTAGACCACATTTTTGAAATGCCAAGAATAGGGCTATTTTGTTATTGTTAACTCAAGAACTTAACATTAGGTTTACCATTCAATGATGCAAGTTATTTCATGGATCAAAGGCGACCTTCAATTCGTCTTACTACTGTCATGTTTCGTGGGACGCCCTGTACTACTCAAAGTTAAAAATTCATACCTTCCATTAATGTGGAATTTGCCCCAAATAGGTTCCCATTTCTCCCGATCACCATTAGCTGCCTGAATTATTTTTTAGAGTTTTTCTAAAAATTAACAAGTATTTGTAATCATGTCAAACTTTAAAAAGTTTTTTTTCAAAGATAATGATTAGAAAAAAAATACTGTGTATACTTAATTGAACATCAGTATCGGATAAAAGTTTTAGATACAAAAGACCTTGTCAATAACTTTCATGTTTAGTGTAAAAAAAAAATTTCATATTTTATGAAACTCATGGTTCCTATAATAATCGTTCAGGGTAAACCGTGGAACCCATTAAATTGTGAAATATTTTTTTTCTCAGACCAGAAATTTGGACAATTATGAAGGGTGTATACTAATACGGTGATACCCATAAAACCGTGGAATAGGAAGACGACAGTTAGACTCAAATTATGATATTACATAGTTCAGTTAACATTAAACACAGCAATTGGGCTACAGGACTACAGGGCTACTCCCAAAGGATGAGACTTCAGAGACACTTTAAACATCTAATTCTTTTGGGGTAACCCTGTATGGTTTTATACACTGAGAAACACACCTTGGCTACTTCCGGTGACCAAATCCAACCAGGAGACACGGAATTCACCCTGAATTTTAGTCTTAGTATAATTTATAGTCGATAGGGTGAAAAATTCATATTTTAATTATATAGAGATGAACTTATTACATCCAAACAATCAGTCGAGAAAACCGTTCTAAACAGTATATTCTGAATGTACCATTAAAAAAGAAGTTGCATTCTTTTCCTAGCTATTGTACCATTAAAAAAGAAGTTGCATTCTTTTCCTAGCTATACTCTTCCAAAAACATGGAATAACCTTAGTCTTACTCTTAAGAGAATCTCAACTTTCAATACTTTTAAGAAGCATTTAAAAAAAGATATATTTGATTCATATAATATGTAAAAATAGGTCTTAGCTCTACTCTTTCTAATCTTTCATTTTTA